TCCATTTAATAAACTTTGGTCCAGTTGCCATGATTTTAACCTTTTTAGAAACGCTTAGCGACCACATAAATAGATTTTCTCCAGGCTGAATTTTTCAATTCTTCCAACTGGCTGAGGAATTCTGGGAGTTGAAGTCCACAAGTCATAAAAGGGCCAAGTTTGAAGACCCCTGCAGTAAAATATGCATGTTAAAAAAAAATCTGTGTTCAGATACCAATGTCGAGGCCGTCTAACTGAAGCACAGCATCATTTATCTGAAAAAAATCAGAAACTTGATGGGCATAAGCCCTTACAGCTGGTCACAATGCGATCTACAGTTTGAGGTGGGGTACTCCAGTCACACTGAGGGGAGGATACTACGCCCCATTTAAACATTGAGTCCCGACAGTGCGAACGCTATTCAGGATTGTCCATTACTGATGTGGTAGTTCAAAGCCCGACCCCACTTTTTTGTGGGGTCATAGAATAGGACAGGTAGAGGACAGGAAGACCTGGAGGAACGTTGTCCATGGGGTCGCGATGGGTCGGACACGACTTCGCAATTAACAACAACAACAGAATAGAATAGAGCTGGAAGAGACCTTGGGAGTCTTCTAGTCCAGCCCCTGCTCAAGCAGGAGACCCTACACCATTTCAGACAAGGGGCTGTCCAGTCTCTTCCTAAAAAAATCCAGTGATGGAGCACCTACAACTTCTGGTGGCAAGCTGTTCCATTGGTTAATTGTCCTCACTGTCAGGAAGTTTCTCCTTAATTCCAGGTTGCTTCACTCCTTGATTAGTTTCCATCCATTGCTTCTTGTCCTGCCGTCTGGTGCTTTGGAAATAAATTGACCCCCTCCTCTTTGTGGCAGCCCCTCAAATACTGGAATACTGCTATCGTGTCACCCCTAGTCCTTCTTTTCTCTAGACTGGCCAAACCCAAATTCCTGCAATCGTTCTTCATATGTTTTAGTCCCCAGGCCTCTAATCCTCTTAGTTGCTCTTCTCTGCACCCTTTCCAAAGTCTCAATATCTCTCCTGCAGCGCATGGACCTAACCTGGATGCAGCACTCCAGGTGTGGTCCTACCAGGGTTTTATAAAGTGGTCCTCACCGTTAACACAATCCCGACTTATACGTCTTCCTGTTTTCTTAGCTGTTCACGGTACACTCGGGACTCTTTTTTCCAACCCCTAAGTTGGAAGTTGTAAATCAAAATGCAAAAGTTGGAAATTGTAAATCAAAGCTCCGTGGGGAGGGGGGGGGGAATAAACAAGGGCATCTAAATGGTATTTTACCTTATTACTTTCTGCCGCTTGATTTTGGCCTTCTTTGGCTTTTGATCTGGCATCTGTGGCTTGGATTCTGTTCGTCTCCATTTTGGTCTTCAGGGAACTTATTTCCTCTGTCAGCTTGGACTGTTTTTCTGGAAAAGCCTGCAACCCGGTGGCAGCCTTGCTCATTTGGTTCTCAGCCTGCGTCCCAGGAAACACAACATTATTAGAGGACAGTCACTTAAATAGGAGCCAGCTGTGTGCTGCAACTGCCAAAAAAGCCAACACAGTGCTGGGCTGCATTAACAGAGGGATAGAATCAAGATCACAGGAAGTGTTAATACCATTTTACAATGCCTTGGTAAGGCCACACTTGGAATCCTGCATCCAGTTTTGGTCACCACGATGTAAAAAAGATGCTGAGACTCTAGAAAGAGTGCAGAGAAGAGCAACAAAGATGATTAGGGGACTGGAGGCTAAAACATATAAGGAAAGGCTGCTGGAATTGGGTCTGTTTAGTTTAATGAAGAGAAGGACGAGGGGGGACATGATAGCAGTCTTCCAATATCTCAGGGACTGCCCCAAAGAAGAGGGAGTCAAGCTATTCTCCAAAGCGCCTGAAGGCAGGACAAGAAGCAACGGATGGAAACTGACCAAGGAGAGAAGCAACCTGGAACTAAGGAGAAACTTCCTGACAGTGAGAACAATTAACCAGTGGAACAACCTGCCTCCAGAAGCGGTGAATGCTCCAACCCTGGAAGTTTTTAAGAAGAGACTGGACAGCCATTTGTCTGAAATGGTGTAGGGTTCCTGCCTGAGCAGGGGGTTGGACTCGATAACCTCCAAGGTCCCTTCCAACTTTATTATTATTATTATTATTATTATTATTATTATTATTATTATTATTATTATTATTATTATTATTATTATTATTATTATTATTGTTGTTGTTGTTATTATATTTAAAAACAAATTAAACATCACATGCTTGAATTTACAATCTTTAAGTTAACTGGGGATACCTCTGAAATATTTGACACAGCTTCTTCTATTTTCTCATTTGAAGCTGCCAAGGCATCTTGGGTTTGTCTCTGAGTGTCTTCGACTTCTTTCAAGTTGGTTATTATTTCGTCAGGTGCAGTGAGAGCTTTCGTTCTCTCCCTGAGTTTTAAACAAAATAATAATAATCATGAGCCGGATCTTGAGATTCGCAAGAAATGTGCGTGCTAGGGTTTATTAACTGGAAGCAGAATACGATAACGAGAGAAAGAAAAGGAACCCAATGAACGAACCAAATAAACCTTTACTGCAAGTCATTTACGAAGGTGAACGAGGATGGAGCAGAACATCAGAGTAACAAAAGACTTCATCGTGGTTGCGTTGCTCAGGTGACATTGGTTTTCGCACTGAACGGTCGAAAAGTTATCGTGGGATAAGATTAGCCCAATCAGAAAATTCATTTTCAGGGATTCGCATTTGACGATCACAAATACAACTTTGTTGGGGTCCTTGATGCTCTCCGAAGCCGGTTGTTTTCTTGCAGACGTTTCATTACCCAACTAGGGAACATCATCAGTGCTAGAAGGGAGTGGGGGAGGGAGAAGAGGAGGAGGAGGAGGAGGAGGAGGGAGGGAGGG